TGCATTGTTTATAATTCCCATTATTCATCATAATTTGTCATCTCTCTTTTTACTTTTTTCCATTCTGAAGTAAAAAAAAATTCATTGTATTGGATATATTTTATTCACCGACCCTACATCAATAATGCAGGTGAACATTCAAATTAAGCAGTTGAAAATAAGAAATTGTGTTTCGTGTAGTTTTAGCTTTGTATCAATTAGTTGTCAATTAACAGCATTGCCTAAAAGGTTCTAAAATGCTGTCCTCTTCAATTCCTCTTCGTCATTTAACAAAATTTTTCCTTTGTATATTTAAAAACGACAAATATATTTGTGGACGTCAATGAGAAATTATTGGCCAAATGTTGGTTTGTACATTTTTATTTTAACCATTAGAGTGAAGGTTCCATAGGAAAAAATGTGTGTTTATCTATATATATATAATTACTAGCTACTAACATTTAATAAAACCTATTTAATTTTATCTATGTGGCAATTTAACAATCTTCCCTCCAAAAACCGTTACATTTTGATGTATTTAATCTTTCATTTAATCATTAAATAATTAATACTCATCACTTCAAAATTACAAAAATCATTTTAAACTTTTGATTAATGACAGTTGACCATATAATGTGTTGACCGTATAATGTGATTAGATGTTATTATTGTTGTTACATTTATTTTTTTTTTAAAAAAATAAAAAATATATTTGAAATTCTTAAATAAATAATAAATAATTCACAAATAAAAGACGTACCAAAATATACATTACATCCAATCAGATAAACGCAATTTAAATGAAAGGAAAGAGAAAATTGAAAGAAAAATATTAATTTTAATTATTTGGTTTACTTTTTAACGTTAGATTTATTTTGCTACAATTGGGTTATTAGTTAACAAAATTCTCAAGTTTGAGATGACGCGCGGCCTGCAAAATTTGGCAATTATGATCCTCATTACTCGTGCGGTCTTTTAAATGTTGTTCTATTTTATCAAAATGAAAAGACGGTATCCTACTATCACGATTCAATAGTTATTGAACAAAAGAATACAATTTTTTGCAGTTAAATATCTTCGATACAAGTTACTTTATGAATTATAGAAATTTCTGAAAATAAAAGGAATAAAATTAAAAAGTTGACACGTCATACAAATACAACGCTTCCACAGTTGCACGTCTTCTATTTTCATTTTGGATGTCAATAAATAAAGTTGAGAAACAGTATATATAGTTTACATTCATTTATAGGAGAATTTGGAAAATATAACTTAAAACATATGATAATTTTCTTCAATTACTTTTGCAATTGCAATAAATATCAAATAACTAGTTAAATTGTGAACATTGTGTCAAACGCATGAGTTAATGGTATTTTTTTCTCATTTTTTCTTTAATTAGTTATCAGGTCGTTTTTTCTTACTTTTCAGATTTTTAGTAATATTATATTCAATTTGTTTTAACTAATGGGTATTTTTAAAATCGCAAAAGTTACTGGAGCATTGCCATCTGACCCAATTAGTTACGTGCATATTTATAACTTTGCCTTCATTTTTACAAAATGAAAATGACGCAACGAATTTGTTAACAGTAGCAAAATCGTATTATAATTGGAATGTCGTATTATATTTAAAAAAGAATAAAAAAAATTGAACCTTTACAAACCCCACAAACACGAAGGCCTAGCACATGATACCATTAATGGTCCCATGTGGTTTTCATATATTGCATGCTGTTTGTGGGTCATTTTCTTGTACAAATTAACCACTATTTTTTAAAACTTAATTTTCTGAGCAAAATCTTTATGAAACCTTACTCAATCATGAGAAAGCGATTGTGACATTTAAAATGAGTTGTCGCACTAAAATGGNGAGGGATTATATTTGATTATCTCATCAATAGTACAAATTGGGTTCGTTTTTTTCCATTTTTGAATATGTATTGAATGTATCTACGTACTGTGAATGATCTCTTTCAATCAATTCACCATCATCAATTTCTAACATATCTTAGTAAATTCGATCCTTTCGATGAGGGTACTGTCTTATTCAATTTTTTATCGTTAGATCACACGCACTCGCACAAACACTCAAAGGTACATAAAATCCGAACAAGATTTTGTGCCGATTCAAGAAAAATCAAATATCCTCGCAATTCTCCATAGATACGATGTTATTTTTTTTTTTCCCCTTTTTAGATTCGTCTGTGTTTTGATACAATCGTTGAAAAATTGATAGGGTTTGTTTCCTTACGTATGATTTTTTCCCTAGTTTAACTTCAATGGTCAAAATGTAGCATTAATGGAGGCTAATACAACGATAAGGTAATGCCAAAATCTAACAATTGAGCCGAAATTAAGTATATATTGACATAGCCGCCATATATACTTATGCAATCATAAAATCATGTAAAGTCATTGTACCAAAAAAAAAATTATGTAAAGTCAAACTATTATACACGTTAATAAGCTTAACATTAATCAATGTTAACGGACAGCTAAGTTTATAAACAGTTATACAGATTACAGAACATGAAATAAATGTCAGGACTAACTAACAAGTAACAACTAACCACTCATGTGATACGTTTTACTGTTGAGACCACTCTTCATTCACACTCGACACGTATAATATTTTCACTAATTTATGACTCAAATTTCAAATAACGCGTCTATTTGCGGACAAATTCTATCGTCGAGTATCTTCACTTTCAATAGTTACGTGCAGGTTTATAGAACATTAAAAAAAATAATAAATAATAATAATGGGTAAGGCTACAATCCCGTTACGGAACCATTCCGTTGGGATTTGTAACCGTTAGATCAAGCATCATTGACGGTTACTTGATGATCTAACGGTTACAATCCCAACGGAATGGTTCCGTAACGGGATTGTAGCATTTTCCAATAATAATAATGTGTGTCCAAATTAATTGTTTCCATGGAACATCTTGTGAATTGGATCTTCAACTTCGTGGTCCAGTGTCATTTTATTACGTTATTAGTTCAACTGCTAAAAGTGTAAATGTTGTAGAATATAAATACAAGTTTATTTTATGCACAAATTTCATGTATATTTATGATAAATTAAGCTTTTAACGAATCAGTAATGAGCGTTTAGTTAAAAAAGAAAAAAGGAAAAATCAAATTCAACCAAATATTGGATCAAAATCCACGATATACACATTGACATTCACAATACATTTAACATAATATAAAACATCAAACTCCTGTCAGAAGAAATTAAACAAAAAAATGTATTTAATATACGAAGAATTAGGGTTCTTTATTCCTGGAAAATTTGAGATTGATGATTGTCTAAATTAATGCAATGTTGTGAATTTGTAATACTTTGGTAGATACTAGGTAGTGTATTTATAAATTATATTTGTGCTGAAAATAGCATGTTTGTTTATAAAAATGTTTGGTTTTGTTTGGATTTTTTGGTTTTGTTTAGTTAATTTTGAAAAAAGTGGTATGATTAGTTGTTAGTGGGTATATTAAAATAATATTTAAAATAAATTAATTAAGATTGATTTGATGTAAAAGTAGGAGAGATATGATTGAAGTGATAGTTAGTTAAAATAATGTGAGTGAATGAATAGTGAATTAAGGTTGATGTGGTGTGTATGAATGATTGATTGATATTATTTAATTATATTAATAATATTGATGATAGTGGGATTGAGTTAAAGTTGAGTTAAAAAAATGATTGAGTTAAAATGTTGAAATTTTTTTGAAAAATTTCCATAAACAAAATCGTTTTAATGCGAACTCAAGCTTGACCAGAAAAACGGATCATAAAACAGAAAGAGCCACCAAAGCAATCCCGAGACTAACTGGAAACAAGCCCATCAGCTTAGAAATTGGGCTTCAACTGCTTTGAATACAATATAGACTTCCATAAGAAATAGAGAAAATGGCCTGCTTGGCCCAGAAGCCTGAAGTGAGTTCATATAAACAAATAATCAAAAGGCTAACAATCAACTTGATGGATTGATTTTAGTCAAATTCTAAAACTGCAAAATTCAGATTGTTGACTCCCAAGTCCCAAGTAAACAATCACATAATGCTAACAGGCACACAAGTGTTCTATCAATATTCAAAATGCATTTGTTTACTTAAAAGTAACTCTTACATTATAATCCTTGGAAGCATAAGAAACAACGATCAAATACTGTTTATCAATCTCTTCAATTTATTTGAACTTCAAAACCAAACCTAAGAAAAAGAGCTTCAGACAAAATGTAAACAGCGAACTACAGAGGCCCGGGGAATGTTCCATTCTCCCTCTGCTCGTTCCACTTATCGATCTGTAAAAACCGAAAAAGGTACAAATAAAAAATAAAATAAAAAATAGCGTGATTCGTGGAAGCCCAAATGAGTGTATGTTAACAAAAGAGTAATAATATAAACAAAAATAAATGCTAATATATGCATGATAAAAAGGTTAAATCAGATAACGAGTATTTTGCCAAATATGAGCGCACGAATGCATACTAGTGACAGAGGTGGCGAAATGGAAGAAAATCATTTCCGAATATTTGGTGTTTGTTTTTTTGGGATCTCGATTGGTGCTTACTGGTCGAGACTTTGACTGATTGGTATCTTTCAATGCAATGTAATCACTAACCATCCCCCGATCTTTTACACTTAAAAACTATCTTTATCGTTATTTCAAATCTTCATTCGCATTTACTTTTTCCTTCTTGAACTTTAAACTACTTTCAAATTGTTGTTTGATCCGGGGTAAAGATGTCCTAGCACCATGTAATTACTGTCTTAGCAGTAAGAAATCACATCATCACCATTCAAAAAAAGAGCACAAGGCCAACATGAAACCACATGCTTAATCCTCTTTAAACCTTGTGAATCATTGAAAGAAAATAATCTTTCTTCCATGGAAAAGATATCATGTATAGAGAGCACAATTTCAACATCTTGAACCCATTTGAGAGAAGCACAAGCAAAATAATCTAAACAATTAACAAAATTGAAAGAAAATTTGGACATCTAACTCACCCATTCGCCAGGACAAAGGGAACGATAGTATTGGGCAAATTTACCACAGTCAACAGATTCTTCACCCTTAGCAGCCACGCACCTGGAAAAAAAAAAACAAACAAACAAAAAAGGAATGAAATTTGCAACTGGACAACCAAATTCAAATTGGTTAAATTGATCTCCATAGATACCTTGTCAAAAGTAACACAAAATAATATCCATTCTTCCCTTTTTATATATTAACACAAAATAATATCCATTCTTCCCTTTTTATATATTCTTCTTGTTCTTCTAATGCCTTATTTCATTATTGACTTATTGTCATTTCGGTCAATTACAAATCACACACACACACACACACACTAAAAGAAAAGAAACTTAAGGAGCTTGAGACTCACATATGTATTATTAGCTACCTAGTCTTGACTAAGGAAACCCATGTGAACCGCTACTTGACACTGATGATTTAAAATGTCTTATTATTCATTACACTGAAGAGGAAAAAGAAAAAACTGAAACCAAATACAAAAGCATAATACATTTTAGAATCGTCTCAAGTCTCAACACCTATCCAATGTAAGCTTTTTCAAGTTTTGAAACCAATCAACTCAAACTTTCAATTCCGAATATAAAGAAGAGTAATTAGCCAAAATGAAACAGAGTTAACAGCAAGGCTTCTCTCATCCAAATTTTAAAAGTTCAGCAGTCATACTTCTACGAGATATATGCATACAGTAAAAAACAACATAATCAAAAGTATGTCATTTTATAGCATAAATCATGTATATTTGTGCAGGGAAAAATGCTCCAATATAGCTAAAGAAGGGTTCACACTCCAACCTGTGAAATTCAATGTAACGGGTGAAACAATGCCGGGTCTGGTTGGTGGTTGGGAACCGAAAGTCAGCCGGAGCAGTTTTTAATTCAATCTGAAACATCGACACAAACAAAAATCAAGGACAAGGAGGCACTAAATTCAGCCAAAAACAATGCAAAACGAAAAATTAACGATAAGAAAATGGCGACGAAAAATCAGCAAAACGATGAAGATTTAACCTAATATATATAAACACAGGCGAAAAATTAACACGCAG